ATCTAGTACTTTAGTTACGTCCAATAGAACATCTAAAAGTTACAAAAATCGAATTACAAATTATATTACACCTGATCGTATTACTAAAATTGAACAAAAATTACTTGAGTTAGAATTCGCAAGATCTGTATTTCAATGTGGCTTGTTTTTGTCTCTACCTGAAATGGAACTAATTAAAAAGTTGTGGAAACAGGCTCGACCAGCATTTAAGTTGCCTAGTCGAAAAAAACTCTCAACAAACTTACTAGATAAGGTTTATAATGAAACCGAAAAAAGCGTTAAAATGTTGATCAATAATAGCCAAAACTTGTGTCTTATATCGGATGGATGGTCCAACTTAATACAGAAACATTGGACAAATTATATTTTGACAACGCCAAAACCTGTATTCTATACGGCATATCCAACTAATGAAATGCGACAAAATGGTGAAACGATTGCTTATAATTTAGAAAAAATAATGATTGAAGTAGGTATATCAAAGATTTCAGCAATCATTACTGATAATGCTTCCGCAATGAAAAAAGCATGGCGTTTGCTAGAAATAGATTATTCTGAAATACTATTTTTAGGTTATATTGCGCATAGCTTAAACCTTTTAGTTGGTGATATAATGAAATTAAGATGGAGTGCAAATTTATTAAAAAAAGCAAAAAAAATAGTTGTATATTTTCGAAGAAATCAAATTCCAATGGCTGTATTTAAAAGACATCAATTAGCTATATATAATCGACGAATTTCTCTTAAGTATTCAGTTAAAACACGATGGGGGTCCTCAGCAACATGTTTTAATTCACTTGTTCAAAATCAACTCACACTTAAGTTAACCGTAACTGAATTAGCCTATGATAATCATACTACAATACCTGAGGCTGTTATTAATATTATAAATTGTGAAAATTTTTGGAAAAATATTGAATCTTTACTTACAGTATTAGATAAATTAGTTGCAGGTATTGCTATGTTTGAGTCTGATACGCCAAGATTGGCATTTTTTTATTCTTGGTACCATGAACAAATTGAATCTGATGGTAAACAAAATAATATATCAATATATAGTATATTTATTATTTTATTATTTATTCTTATTAAGCTTTATTATTTTAGTTTATATTTTTTCTGCAGTAGGTTCTACGATCAAAAATTTATTAGAGAAAAGGTGGAAAAAAATTTATCATCCTGTAATGTCGGTGGCACATTTGTTAGATCCGCGATGTCATGGAAAAAAACTTTCGGTTAATAGTATGTTTATATAGCTGTGATTTTTTGTACAAGTTTTAATAACGGTAAATTAAACTTCATGTAATTTTAAATACATGGTAAGCAAAGGTTTTATTATAATTCTTTTTAACTTACTATTTTGATAATTTTAAATTACTATTTTTATGTCTAACAATTTATATTTTAAACTATGTATTAGTTGGTAAATATAAGAATCTTAAGTTTTTGATAATTTTTTTAAAATATATACGTATCTGATAAATATTTTAATATGTGCTTCTATCAAATTATTAGCTTGAGTTATCAGATGATGTAATTATTACATGAAATCTAATTTATATAAAATTACATATGTACGTACATACATGTACATATATACAAGATTATAATCTTAGTAACACAACTCTAGGCATGTCAACTGTTTCAACATTTATTCAACAGTATTATCCACATAAAGCAAACATTATATGGCGACAGCTACTTCAATATAAAACTCGGACTGGCATATTTAATTTCAACTTGGCTTGAAATGCAATAGATGAAGTAGATCCGGTTGCTTGGTGGGGAGAAAATTTTGAAGAATCAGCTCCTGAATTATGTAAAGTAGCATCTAGAATCCTTACAATTCCATTATCATCAGCAGCTTCTAAGCGGAATTGGTCAAATTTTTCCTATATCCATGATAAAAGACAAAGTCGGTTAACACCACAGCGAGTGTTAAAACTAGTGTATGTTTACAGCAACTACAAACTTACTTGCCCAAGACTAGAATCATCTGATATAGTGGAGGCAGCATTACGTTCTAATGATAGACCTAGTGAAAGTCATGAATTTGAGTTATTAGACCCTGATAATAGTGATAATAGTGATGAAAGTGATGAAGGTGAATCGGAAGATGGATTAGCAAAAAGTGATGAAGATGAGATCATAGAATTAACAGAATCTGAAACAGAGTTATTAACAGAAAGTGATATAAATAGCGAGGATGAATAGGTGAGCATAAAATTTCTATATTACCAAGCACAAAATGCTAGCAATATTAGAGCGAAAAAGATAAGCGTAAAATATTCATTATTATAATAGAAGCATTAATGGGATTTGAGTTGAAAAAGACAAATTTAAAGCATTAATTAGCTATCAAAATAAGGAACATTAACAGAATTTAGGTTGAAAATATAAGCATAAAATATTCATTGTTGGGATGTGCGGTAAATTGGGTTTATAAAAGTAAATATAATTATTATTAATTAGAATTGAAATTAAAATGTTAAATGTAAGACCTTCATTAATCTTTTAATTGTCAAAAATAGATTAAAAATGAACGTACGGCATTTGTATCAAAACAGTTTATTTGTTGAAGCGAATGAATGAATGTAGAGCATTCATTATCAAAGTCTGCTGAAATGGGAGACATTTGTGAAATTGAAGTTGAAAGGTATAGGCACAAACATTTATTAATCGAATTAGGGCCAAAAAGATGAACATAAGGTATCGCAAAATTGAAAAAGATGAATATAAAAATATTCAAATAGAAGCGTTAGTTGAAAAAAGATCATAAAGCATTTATCATCAAAATTTAGTTGTTTTATAGAAATGTGTAATAAAGATTTTACACCTATTTGCTTTATTGAATTTTCATTATTGAAATTTAAATTTTTACAAACTTTACTACATGACTTAATTGATGAATATTAATTTATAAATTTTATTGAAATTTGTATATGATTATTCTACTTAATATAA